ATATAATGACAATATAATATATGACAATGTAATATATGATATATACCTATCATCAAATATGATTACATTACAAGACATACTAACACATTTCAATCATATCAGAAGATCATGATGATAAAATCTGATCATCAGGCATTTCTATCTGAGATTTTATGTAATTATATACATATTAGCACTTTTTCATTATTTAAGTTTTATATCAATAAAATAAACTGGTATACAAACATTTTATTTATATACATTAAATACATTCCCAGCAAACACTGATATATAATTGTTACATTGCTATAATAAAACGGAATATAACAGATAATATAACGTGTATGTTACATCCCATACAGCACAGATTATTGCAATTATATTGCAGCAACGTTGCAATGTTGCAAGTTGCAATGCAACATTATAAAGGCATTGCAGAGATATAGGTGCACAAAATTCCAGCACACTTGTAGCAACATGACATTAATATTCGGAAATATTGCATGTAATCCAAATTCTATAATTATAATTATATTTATATATAATATATACATATATATTATATATATATATACCCAGCAAACACCAAGTTACAGCTATATAATTGTTAGTTGTAATTTCCCACTCAAAAATATAATACAATGTATTATAACAATTATATTGTTGAGTGGAAAATTACAACTAACAATTATATAACTGTAACTTGGTATTTGCTGGATATAATACTGTAATAATTTTTTGCAATATTATACAATAAAAGATGTTAACGATAATCAATAATTTTATTATCTTCCAAAAAGCGGACATTTTAACATTGCTGCAATTCAACAGCAATGATATGTAGCAACATTTTGCAGTGAATTTGCAATATTGCAATATTGCGGTGAAAGATTGTTGTAATGTTTTTGCAATCTAACGGTGCTGTATGGGATGTAACATCCATCCCAGCAAACACAATATATAAATGTTATATATACTTAAGCATGTTACATGTAACGTATATGTTAGTTAATTTCCCACTCATAGATGTAACATTTTTAATATTACATATATTACATTATATATATAGTTATATTGTCATTATATCCCAAGATAGCACTGACTTATCAATACATCAATGTGCTATTTGATATATAATTACAATATAACTACAATGTAATATATGTTATATTAAAATGTTACATCTATGAGTGGGAAATACAACCCATACAGCACAGATTATTGCAATTATATTGCAGCAACGTTGCAATGTTGCAAGTTGCAATGCAACATTATAAGACATTGCAGAGATATAGGTGCACAAAATTCAGCACACTTGTAGCAACATGACAAAATATTTTCGGAATATTGATGTAATCCAAATTCTTAATTTATATATTGTAATATATCAAGAGACACGGTAGTGTCTCGCGACAAGTCACCAAATCGTAGCGAGGTACTTCCGTGTATCTTTACGCGAGTCGGACTTTGGACAGCATCTTATATTATCAGATCTCATAGAAGGATTGATGATCGTATTCTCGATAGACTTAATCGATAGCTTGGGTTTAAATTGTATTAGAAAACTGTCTTTACTTTTGTTTTACGTATTATATATACAGAGATATTACGAAGTAAGTTTGACTTTATAATAAAATTGAAAATTTTGGTATTCGTCGTCGACCTTCTCAATGCGCATGTGTGTGAAAATGTACTATTCGAGCAGTCAACGCTAGATTGTATAATGTCGCTCCATGATCCATGATGTTAGGTTGTGTGTCAGATTTAGTGACATGTAACATGTATGTAGGTTACATTATTCCCTACAATGTCATGTTACATATTAGTTGTAATTAAACGACCAAGAGAAAAATAAATTTGGCTGATAAATTCAGAAAGAATACTTTTATAGAGGGAGGGGAGAGAGAGGGAGAGAGAGAGAGAGAGAAAGAGAGAAAAAGGTCTAATGTGTATATTATTGATATATACTAATGTGTATATTGATATATAATTACATTTATTATAATATAATTGCTTTTATAATATAATTATTTATTTATTATAATATAATTACATTATTTATATAGCTGCTAACCTAACTGCTATGTCTCTCTCTCTCTCTCTCTCTCGCTCTCTCCTCTCTTCTCTCTCTCTCTCTCTCTCATCTCTCTCTCGATCTCTCTCTCTCTCTCTCTCTCTCCGTCTCATCTCTCTCTCTCTCTCTCTCTCTCTCCTCCTTCTCTCTCCTCTCTCTCTCTCTCTCTCTCTTCTTCTTCTCCCCCTCCTCCTCCCTCTTCTCTCTCTCCCCCTCTCTCTCTCTCTCTCCCCCCTCTCTCTCTCTGTCTCTCTCTCTCTCTTTATCTATCTATCTATCTATCTATAACTTGTGTTACTCCAGGATATACAATAAATGTATGTATGATAGAGAGGGAGGGAGAGATAAATATATACTACAAAAAAGATGATATCCATAAAAAACTTACATTTTTTTAAAAAAGGTAAAAAAAGGCGACAAGTTTATAGTAAAGTGATAATAAATCAATTAGTAATTATACGCGATGATTGTAATATGCATATATAACATTTGTAATATGCATATATGTAACATTTTTTTTTAAAACCTTGACGCAAAGATTTTATATATTAATAATAAATCAATTAGTAATTACGCGATGATTGTAATATGCATATATAACATTTGTAATATGCATATATGTAACATTTTTTTATAAAACTTTGACGCAAAAGATTTTATATATTCACAGAACATACATTATTAATGTAATGTTTTAATCATTATTATAATGTATTGTTTATAAAAGTAATTTTTTTATTACTTTAAGATACATTGCAATAAATTAATTAAATACTATGCAAATGACAAACGTACTTCGTACATTTACATTGCAATTATTTTCTAAGTTAATTATTGAATATTTTAAGATACATTACAATAAATTTATTATTTGTTACATTAAGATAATTATAGTAAATTAATTATTTCTTATTTTAAGATTTACAGATACATTACAGTAATTTTGAAATAAAATTTAGCAGCGCCAAGTATTTTTAACAAAAATTTCTCTATTTTTTTTGGTTAAAATATTTCTAAGACCAAATGTGACGAGTGATTATATGGTTGACAATAATATCAAATGAGATATATATTTTCTATCATACTCTTTAATCCAAATAAGATATTATTGTCAATCATAAATCGTTCGTCCCATTTGATCTTTTTATATAATTTGCTGCGTTACAATATATGAGTCATATATTTAATTAATTGTTGTTTGTGAAATATTTCTATAAAAAAAATTGTTTAATAAAATAATTATAATAAAAGATTTTATAGTATAAATGTTTTTATTTGTCGCAATTTTTGATATCATTATTTTTTTTAGAAATATTTAATTATTTTGTACAATAAAAATATATTGTATAAAATTAAAATGACATTATTTTTTAGAGTAGTTTTTTATAGTAATTTAAAAACACTGTTTTTTTGTATAACACTTTTCACATGAGTACGTAAACTTGTCGCCTTTTTTTACCTTTTTAAAAATATACTTGAATCAAGGATTACTTTTTTCTGTGAATATATAAAATCTTTTGCGTCAAAGTTTTATAAAAAAAATGTTACATATATGCATATTACAAATGTTATATATGCATATTACAATCATCGCGTAATTACTAATTGATTTATTATTAATATATAAAATCTTTGCGTCAAGGTTTATATAAAAAAATGTTACATATATGCATATTACAAATGTTATATATGCATATTACAATCATCGCGTATAATTACTAATTGATTTATTATCACTTTACTATAAACTTGTCGCCTTTTTTTACCTTTTTTTAAAAATGTAAGTTTTTTATGGATATACATATACCCAGCAAACACTACGTTACAGCTATATAATTGTTAGTTGTAATTTCCACTCAAAAATATAATACATGTATATTATAACAATTCCCATACAGCACAGATTATTGCAATTATATTGCAGCAACGTTGCAATGTTGCAAGTTGCAATGCAACATTATAAAGACATTGTAGAGATATAGGTGCACAAAATTCTAGCACACTTGTAGCAACATGACATTAATATTTCGGAAATATTGCATGTAATCCAAATTCTATAATTTATATATTGTAATATATATACATATACCCAGCAAACACCAAGTTACAGCTATATAATTGTTAGTTGTAATTTCCCAATCAAAATATAATACGTGTATTATAACAATTATATTGTTGAGTGGAAAATTACAACTAACAATTATATAACTGTAACTTGTATTTGCTGGGTATAATACTGTAATTAAATAATTTTTTGCAATATTGTACAATAAAAATGTTAACAATAATCAATAATTTTGTTAATAACATTAATATTAATTTATTGCAATATTGTTGTAATATTTTGTTGAAATCTTCCAAAAAGCGGACATTTTAACATTGCTGCAATTCAACAGCAATGATGTAGCCACATTTTGCAGTGAATTTGCAATATTGCAATATTGCGGTGAAGATTGTTGTAATGTTTTTGCAATCTATCGGTGCTGTATGGGAACTAACATGGATGTTACATGTAACGTACACGTTATATTACCTGTTATATTCCGTTTTATTATAGCAATGTAACAATTATATCGGTGTTTGCTGGGATGTTAGTTGTAATTTCCCACTCATAGATGTAACATTTTAATATTTAACATATATTACATTATAGTTATATTGTAATTATATACCAAATAGCACATTGGTGTATTGATAAGTCAGTGCTATCTTGGGATATAATGACAATATAACTACAATGTAATATATGTAATATTAAAATGTTACATCTATGAGTGGGAAATTACAACTAACATATACGTTACATGTAACATGCTTGAGTATATAACATTTATATACTGTGTTTACTGGTTGCTTTACTTTGTCAGGGGGCGTACTAGTACACGCGGCCGCTCTCTTGTTTCTCTCTGCTTGTACATACATGTATGTATATACCTATATATATTCGCTCAGTGTATTCGAGGTTAGGTTACGCTAAACAGCAAACTGCATGTGCACGTGTTGTCTCGCACAGATATAATATTATATTTAAATACATCTTTATAGGTAAATATATTTCAAAATATATTTTTCTATATAATATATTCCATATATATTTACATATATCTATTGTATATTCATATTTTATTAATATTCGATTATTTCCAAAAATTTACGTGAATAATAACACACAACATAACCTACTATAAAGAATCCATATAGTAGTAATAGTAGTAGTTCATTTATTGTTCCCCTTGGGTTACAAATTACATACAACTCATAATGAACAAAAACCAAAATTTACATACACAACATATACGCAATATAAAACTTTACAATATAATCTTAAATAAAAACGTAGATATTTGAGAATCGCCAGACAGAATTTAAAAAAGGTAAGAATCTTCTCTCGACCGTACTGGCAAATATTATTTATTCAATCACAACGTTTCGACCCTTCTTTGAGTCCTTATATTAAGTGATTTGTAAAAATAAAAACAAAATTATAATTTTAAGATGTCAAGAACGAACATAGTGTCGGTTTGACAACACATCAAGACTCTTAGACGAGTTATTGGAGACTGATATAATCTTAATCTAACTTAATTCTAACTTAATCTAATGTAGCCTAATTATTCTAGGGTTGGGCTTCCGCTTTAGGTCGCCCGTTGACCAGACCATCTCCCTTTGGCTTCTGCCCAACCCTATACACACACACATATGCTTTTGGGACTTCCGTTTCCTCTTGCCTTCATTTTTTTTTCTTTTTAACTTTCTCCCCTTTTGTCCCCCTCGTGTCATTCACTCCTCCAATCATCCTTCTTTCCCTCTTAATCTCCCTGTATGCTTCTCTCTCCTCTCCTTTCTATCTCTTTCATCCACCCGTCTCCCTCTCCTTTTCTTCTAATATCTCCCTCACAGCTTCCTGCCAACTGTCTTTCCTCTCTCCCTTCAATCCACATCTCTCCCATACATGCTCCCATGACTCTTCCTCTTCTTCACATATCCTGCATTTCTTCTTCTCCACCTCCTCCCAGTACCTGCTTTCTAATATCTCGCTTCCTAATCTAAATCTTGCTACTCTCCTCCATCTACTTTCTCCCCAATTCTTTCTTAAATATTCTGGTACATAAAGAATCCATAGAAATTGTCTAAATAATCATAATTGGACTAAATTGGTTAAAGGCACATTAAATGTTTACAAAAAAAGTTCAGAGAAGAGAAATCGTGCAGTGTATATTGATTTAATATCTCTAAATATTAAATTCAAATCTGATCTCTAAACATAGCTATTTCTTTAGGTACATCGATCATCAAATCATGATGGGATCACAAGAGGCTGGGAAAAAGCGAAAAAAGAAACGTTCCCAGACCCAGATGGCGAAAAAATTTGCTCGTCGAAGAAATTCAGGCAACGATCTGGATCAGGACACCTATCAGTACATGGTTCGCATCGTCGAGTTGATACGCAAAGACTTCTCTTCGTCTGAAGAAAGATTGATGTTTGCGCAGAATGTTTTTCAGGAGACGGCAGGACGCGAGGTCGACTGCGCGCGTAATCAAATCGGATCTCACGTTATCGATTCTCTTCTAAAGTACGCCAGCCTGGAGGCAATTCAGAAACTGATAGAGGCATTTGAACCTTCCTTGAGACTGTTGAGCAGCGACAAATGTGCCAGTCACGTTTTACAGAAGATAATATTGGTCTGCGCTGATAGAGGCAATCAAGTTTCCACATCGATCACAAATAAGGCTGCTGTCGTTGAAATTAAGCCACTTGAAGCTAAAACTTACAATGATATTGTTCTAAGGCTGAGCAAATATTTTCTGAACAATTTAGAGGAGTTTGTGTTTGACACTTATGCTAATCATGTGTTGCGGACAGTCATCAAGTGTCTTGCAGGATTGATCGATGATAATGAGAGTAATAAGAAATCTTTTGTTCAGTATTCTGTGGAAAGACGTCCTGTCATACAAGAGTATAAGGATCTGTTGATAGAAAGTTGCGATCGATTGCAGAAATGGCCACAATTCTATCAATTTGGACAACAAGAAATTACTTCTGGCTTTGTACAATGTATCTTGCATTCTTTGAAAGATGTTGATCCGGATTTAACAAATGCCATTATTAAAAAAATTAGAAAAATATGTTTTAACACAGATGAAGAAGAGAAGCTATCGAATATATTTAATGCAGAATCTTCTATCAGGATATTAGAAGCTTGTTTGACAGTAGCACAGTCGAAAACTTTCATAAAACTATATAAAACATATTTTGCTAAAAATTTGAAACATTTATGTTTGACACAAAATACTAATTTTAGTGTGCAGAGATTATTAGATTATTGCGTTACAAAAGAACTCTTCGAGGAAATATTTGACAAAGTATCGGAATACTTTCCAGAAATTCTTCAACAAGGTTTCACTGGGATATTTGTCAGCGCTGGGAATGCATGCTTAAGATTGCAAACGAAACAAGGTGCATTTATCAATTCAATGATCAAGCTATTGAAATGCGATACATCTACTGATGATCAGACCCAGCTTGTAAGATGTATAGTGACTTTGAAGGATCCAGATCAACTAAAGGCTATTCCAAATAATTCACAACCACTCAACTTACATGGAAGTTTAATAATACAAGCCATATTGAATTTCAACAAACCCATAAAAATTGCAAATTCTTTATTGGAAATGAGCAACGAAGAATTGTTGCAATTATTTAATGATCCAAAGGGCAGTCGAATTCTGGATGCTTTCATGGACAGCAAATACATCGGCGAAAAGAGTAGGGAGAAATTATGTAAAAAACTGCATGGCATTTGGGCAGAATTAGCGAAAAGCACGCACGGATCTAGATGTGTGGACAAAATGTGGATATGGGCGCGTATGAATCAAAAAGTCCTCATTATGGAAGAATTGGCTGCGGCCGGAAAAGCTTTAGAATCCACGAAATCAGGCAAGATTATCTCCGCGAAACTAAATGTTCCATTATTTGCGAGAAATAAGAAGGATTGGTCGGAATCGCAAGGTAAAGAAGAAAAAACGAAAGCATTATTCGCGGATATTATCGGAAAAAATCCTAAAAAATAATTTTAGGAAATGTAATAATACAGGTCACACATATATATATATATATATATATATATATATATATATATATTATTAAATAAATGACAAAATTTATATATGTATTGTTCTCGTTTATCGATTAGTTCTTCATGGCGGAATAAAATCGAATCATATATTATCATCTTTTTCACAAAAATTTCTCTTTGTATATTTATGATTACTAAAAATTAAGAGCTCGAAATGTTAATTTTTTCATTTAATTGAAAAGAGAAAATTTATCGAAAGAAATATTTATACAATTTTAATTTAATTTTTACATTTAAATAATATTATACAAATTAATTTCCCACGAAGGAATAAAATCAAATCAGCTATTTCCTTATTTTTGCGAAAAGTTTTTATAATGTAAAAATTTCTACTTCCATTTTTTTATTTAATAGAAAAAATGAGACTTACAATTTTAATTTAATTTATCCCGTTTTTACATTTAAATCGCGTTGTAGGATGCAATAAAAAGATCTGATGATGCTATTTCTCTTATGTTCTGACATAGAATAATCATATTATATATTTCGTTAGTTTACAAATACATTTTATATAATATCCATATCATACATCCCCGCAACGCAATATGCCTAGGAAAAATTACAATAATTCATAGTCTAGATTTGAGCAAAGTTTTCCTAATGCGTATGATCGATAAATCCGCTCCATCTTCCCGTGTGTGTACATGTGTGTGTGACTAGACTTACATAAATATACGTGATAATTATATCCTGAGGTGTGCGCGCTTAAAAGTAAAAGATTCTCGAGAATTTCTCTAAGTTACATATTAATCTCGTTTTACAATCATTAAATCTATCAATTGACTAGGATAAAATCGATGCGATTTATTTTCTTTCTTTTCGTGTATGAGAAACATCGAGATCGGGGTAAATACGCGATAAAAATCAAATGACTTTTCGTGTATCTATGTGTTGTGTACGTATCGATTTTATCTTGTACGATACATGTTATTTTTTCATAATGATATTCTGCGGTGTAATATTGAGATACGGTAAAAAGTTACATTCACATGTGAAAGAACACATAGTACTCGATCGTTTTTTTTTATATGTATATATATATAAGAATAAAAATTATAGCTCGTCATAATTTTATGCATCATAAATTTCGTGCTTTGCCAGATTATTACGAATAACAAAAGAAAAAGAGATGCATTTTTTAAATTGCAAATCCGAACAAAGCTTACCAATTGGACGAGTTCTTTAACTTTTTGCTCATTATGTGAAAAAATTGCTAAAATAGCGAAACAAATAAAATGTCTACGGGAGAGTTATTTTCGTAATGCTACATATTTATTTACTGCTAATGTCGATTCAAGGATTCATTGATCGAAGATTATTCAGAGATTCACTCTCTGTGTGTTATCTATTATTCTTTTAATTGCAAAAAACACGTTTAAGACACGCATTATTTCTATTGTTTGCTTTAATCCTAGATAATAAGTGAATTGCGGAAATTTGCGATTCGGTAGATGATAAAAAGCGGATAAAACGGCTGGCACATGATGCTGATAAACATTTATTACGACAGTGCTGTGCATATTTCATTATCTATCCGAGAAAAAAAAACGCAAACATCTATACGATCGGTTACGCTACTTGAAGTGAAATCATCAGTCGCTCATTTTGCGTGATTAATTAATAAATTCTAAAAACACATTTTTATCACACCCGATATTTTTTTCCATTCGAAGCGTGCAAAAAATCGTGTTTTATCCGTGGAATTTACAAATTTTCAGAAAATAGGCTCCCGATATTTTTCAGATATTTAATAAATTCTAAAAACACATTTTTATCACACCCGATGTTTTTTTTTCCATTCGAAGTGCGCAAAAAATTGTGTTTTATCCGAGGAATTTACAAATTTTCAGAAGATAGACTCCCGATATTTTTCAGATATATTTTTTGGACCGTCGTACTGTGTTATTAATTATTATGCTACGATTTAAAGATCGATGGAATACCAAAGCTGATCGATCACACGAAAATTCGTATTTTTCTAATCGATTATAAATAATCGTATTTCACTTACTATATCGCACATTATCGTCTAACTGAAACGCCGGGACTAGAGATTATCTATTCAGAAGATAACTGATCGTATCAGCATTTTTAATGCTGTCTCCTTGTCACAAGCGAATAATTAAATTTATTCACAGTTACGTTGAACTAGATATTGTAAATTCTTGTTGTAGACTCGCTCACATTTTCAGTAATATTACAAAAGAAATCTCAGTTTCGCAGAAAGAACAGGACATAACGATGAGAGTAGCAGAAGATGTATGATCGATGAAGGATCTGCAGAAGATGGACGAATTAAAAAGAATTGGAAGGAATTCATCTCTTGTTAAAATTTCTAATTTTCAAGAATTAAAAATTGTTCTTTAATAAGATTGTTATATTTTTCTTTTTTCAATTCTTGGAATACAGATGATTCCTGTGCATTTTATGTATTTAGATTAAGTTGCATGGTTAAGTTCACATTAAATTTTTTTTATGTTCTTCAAATTTTTTACGTTTTAATTCAAAACTATAGCTTAAGATGAATAGAATATGATACTCAAAAACCCGAACAATTAATTTTTTGATCGAAATAATGGGCTGGGATCATTGGAAGGGTATTGTTAGCATACATTCACATATATTGATCCGTTTAGGATTGTCAGTACAATTAGCTAATCGAAAAGTCCTAGTATTTAACTGGCCAATTAGTCAAATGGGCTATCGGATCTTGTCCAGAAGTGTCATTTACACTCTGCGCAATTAATAAAGAGTTAATTATCATTCTTCAAGAATCAAGAAATGAAAAGAAAAATCTAACAGATCGCTTCCGAAAACATTCAGGGAGGAATGATTATCTCTTCATTTCAATTCGTCCACCTTTTTACAGAGAAGACTCCTTAAGTTGCTAGGTTTTGCGCGATCAACGCGACTCGTAGTCGAGCCATCTAATCGATCGGTTGTTCTTAATACCGCGACGTCACTTTCCCTTCGAGGCAGCCGCGACTGACGTAGCGTCGACCTCGTTGACACTCGTGGAGAGATTCGCGGCGGCAACCCTCGGCGGGCTGCGCGAGGCCGATCTTCGCGGCTCGCGCGGCGGCAGGTTGTTACAGGTCGTATGATGACCGGCCTCCCAATCGCGATGCTGACAAAACGAACCGCAATACCGGGCGATTCCGCAGCCGCCGCAGGTCTCCAGGGCGGGCCTGCCACAATTCCAACAGCTCTGGAAAGATTATGGGAAATTTTCTAATTTGGAACTCTACTGATGGGATTTTCTCTACACTCCATTTAATATTTGAATCTGTTCTTTTCAGTTGAACTGCACCAGTTCAGAGTTTATAGGTCTATTCCTTCCCTAATAGCACACTATACCCGAAAGACATTCAGAGGATATCCAAAGGACATTCGAACATCCTCAGGATGTTCTCTGAACGTTTTCTGGATATGCATGCTGTTAAGGTTTTGGCTAAACTAGCTGGATTAGTAGTTCAGAGTTTATCTCTTTCCCTCCAAAATGGAGTAAAAAAGATAAACTAGTGAAGCCAGTTCAGCTAAAAAGAACAGACCTTTTGACTTGAGCAACTGTATATGAACTGGAACACTTCTTACATCATATATATCTCGAACAAAAAGAGCAATCAATTAATAAGTTAAGAGAAATTAATTGAACGAACTAATAGTTACATTGTATTAATTGTGATCAGGGTTGATCTATAAAATTATCTATAAAAATGGATCTACATATACTTCGAATGTTTGAGTAATTAATTTAGATAGATTACAAATGTCTACCTAGACATAAATACAGCTAATTGTTTTTAATTAATTACACTTACGGATCCCATCATGCTGGTCAGATGGACGTCCTTCTCGTCTTCGGTGGTCGACGGTGCTGAATTTGTCGTTGTCGTCGGTGTTGTTACATTCCTAGTGCTGGTCTCCACCGCGCTCGAGCTCCCGTGAACCCTCAGAAAGGGACCCTGACGAAGACTGCCGTGATTTCTTTGGGACAGAGGGAGATCCAGTAGCCGATGAACCCTCAAACGTTCGTTCGCCCTAGATTCCGCAACCGCAACTGCCACAGCTCGTTGCACTTCCGCCACCGCGGCTCTTTTCACCTCTAACACAGCTTCCTCTGGAGATTCCAATAAAATCGATTTCCGATTAACACTTATCTTATCTCATTATTTATATCATCCTCTTATTTAATTGTTAACTCCATTATGTCAAATAATATTTCTAAACATATATACTGAGTCTAACAATAAAATTCATAAACTCATCAATTACAATTGCTACATATCTTATTGCTGATTGGGAAATAATATATCGATGCCAACGTATTTTCCATTCTTCAAAGCAGTTTTAGAATTGTTGTATATATAAAATGGTTTTCATAGCCGCAGTTATATTACTCACGTACGAATCAGATAATTTTTAGCTCCAAAGCAAATATAACAGTGTTGGAAACCCTCTCTATTCATCCCAATTCATCAGTAAACTTTCTTTTATTTCCAAAGATAAAGGAAACATTAACGAACGCTCTTTAATCGCATTAATGATATTAAGAATAAATCTAAGACTATTTGAAGACTATTTCACAATTTCAGACTGCTGCCTAATAAGACTACTTTAAAGAAGACCACAATGATAATCAGCAATAATGAATTCTTGAACTTTATAGTCAGATCTAGTCAAATACACGTCCTTAACAGCACACATCCCGAAGATGTTCAAAGAACATCTTGAGGATGTTCGAATGTCCTCTGGATATCCTCTGAATGTCCTTCAGATATGGTATACTATTAGGGATTTCTAGAAGTTGATTCTATCATCTAGAAGTTCAGTAAAAACTCGAAAAGTTTGTATCATACAAGAGATAGATTTATAAAACTTTTTACAAAAATACCGGCTCTCCGTTTGACCTCGGCCACCCTGTCCTCGGTCGCCCTAATCGTCTGCGCGACGATTTCGCCGGACAATCGCTTCAGGCTGCCATCCCGATCGCCGGTGGATGATTCAATCTGTACACCGTTTGTGGACGAGGGGTTGTTGCTGTTGCCGTTGTTACTGGTGCCATTTTGTGCCGCCGGCACCACACCTGCGGGTGGTGCCGCGGCTGCCGGACTGGAACACCCTCGTCGCTGAAGGATCGCCAGTGCCCTCTTCGTTTTCTCGACCATCCCAAGGATGCAGTTGAGCATCACGTGGATGTTCTTCCACTCGTCATCCAGACTACCCCGTTCTGCGTTTGCAGACTGTGGCTCATCGGCTGTTGCGACTGTTGGGTTAGATGATGCGGCGCGGAAAACGCGTTTATTTGGTTGATCTGCACCAGACTAGGCGGCACCGGGCTAGGACCATGGCCGTGCGCGTGACCTTGAATTGACCCGCTCGTGGAGTGCAGCGGATGGTACCAGCAATAGGACGGATCCGTTGATTGCTGCTGCTGCTGCTGTTGCTGCTGTTGCTGTTGGTGATGATGGCTCCAAGGATTAGTGGACCTCTTGCCGTACACCGGCATGTCATCCAACAGGACGCCGTTCTCGTAGTATCTGTTGAAATTCGCTAATATTAACGAGGGAAAAGAAGCAACCCAAATAGCACCATGTCCAAAATTGGTGCATAAGATACAGCATTAAAAATCTTTAAAAATTTTTAAGAAATCTTATAAAATATGATATCCCAAAAACATCTTGAACATATGTTATACACCAATTTTGGACATGGTGCAGTCTGGGAAGAATGGATATTGTTAGTGAAACTATTTTTTGAGTTTTAGGTGACATTATTAATCCAATTATTATGTCGTATCAAGACACTTTATGCGCATTCCTTAATATATATTCTACAGCTCGCCCAAATCCTGTATTATTCGTCATAGAGCACCTCTCTACTCTTACACGGCGAGTTGTTTGGGCATTCAGTATCGCGTGGAGACCGCCTGCGAATCAAAGATGACTGTCCATGTGTGTATGCGTTTACACCCACGTTTACCGACGCGATGTGTATTAGCAGGATGCCGATAGGCACTCGAGGCAAGTTCGCTGGTACTCGTGGACGAAGGGGTAACAGGCTGCGGAAAAGAGGGAGAAGGGGAAGAGCGCGATGGGGTGGTGTTCGGAAAGGTGGTGCTCCGATGATATATGGAAACGTCACCGGCAGACATATCGAGAGAAGGCCAGGGTGGCATTGCCAGGGCGCACACCGCGTTTTGTCGCCTTCGTATTCGCTTCATGGTGTCTCCCTCTCTCTCATCCCGTATCTACGTGCATATCATCCTAAGCGGAAATCCGTCCGGTGCTGCTGATTTCATCAACACCTCGCTCGGTGCTGCGCGGTTGAAGATGACACGTGGAATTTGTACATTAAGATAATCGAAATAATAATCCCTTTTTTATATACCCTAATTCTCGACTGCTTAAATAATTCGAGGACTCTTAATGACTCTCATCCCAGCAAACACAATATATAAATGTTATATACTCAAGCATGTTACATGTAACGTATATGTTAGTTGTAATTTCCCACTCATAGATGTAACATTTTTAATATTACATATATTACATTGTAGTTATATTGTCATTATATCCCAAGATAGCACTGACTTATCAATACATCAATGTGCTATTTGGTATATAATTACAATATAACTACAATGTAATATATGTTATATTAAAATGTTACATCTATGAGTGGGAAATTACAATTAACATGGATGTTACATGTAACGTACACGTTATATTACCTGTTATATTCCGTTTTATTATAGCAATGTAATTATATATTGGTGTTTGCTGGGATTTGAGAGAAAATTCGTGACAAAAATATATTTTTAATTAAATCTAAATAGTTTAAGCGCGCATTTTGAAAATTCTCTGAATCACATTTCTTTAGCAGATAGTCATCGACGATCGTCATTAAGAGTTCTCGAATTATAAGCAATCGAGAATTAGAGTATATAAAAAAAGATTATTATTTCGATCATCTCTCATTTGAGAGAAAATTCGGTTTCTTGTTAGCGTGTTTCAACATTTTCGCGCGAGACATATCAATATCGAATGAAATGTTGAACAGGAGGCAATTTTGCATGTTTAATGAATGCTTGATCACGATAAATATCGGGCAAGAAATGTAGGCTGGTAGCCAAGATTTTTCCGAAACGACCAGCATATTTGCGGTTTGGCAAACGTAGTACGTGCGCGTGTACACGCAGATGTGTAGTGATTTTGCACGTAAATTTATCGCGTGAAGATTCCACGAGATCACTGAACGAGCCTCAATTTATATGATTATTAATTTATGCGCTCTCATCTATTTCTCTTACACAGTGCGGTGAGAAGGGAGAAAGAGAGAGTTATTATATTTTTAATAATCTCTCAGTCGGCAGATACTATAATTAGCATTTATGAAATTTTCACATTTTAATAGATAAATAAAAATTTTATATATATTCCAATTTTTCATATAGAAGGTGTTTTTAAATAAGTACAAAAGAAAGATGATTCTCTCTCTCTCTCTCTTTATCGAAAATTAAGGAGGGTTTTTCATATAAACATATACCCCTATATTCCTCTCTAAGGAATTATACTAAAGAGAAATGAAAATTAGGATTTAATTTTTTAAAACTATTGATTTTACGAAAAAGAAATACAAAAGTTTTTAAAAGAATCAAGCTTTCTAATGCATATTTTTAGTTAATTATATTCCAGACGATTCTAAATCTAATAAAAAATTGAATAGGGGTTGTTAGTTTCATCCCTTTATAATAATATGGGAAGATTAAAGAAATATTAATAAATATCCTTTTATACTAGTACTAGTGGAAAATATTCACGAAATTTAATTTTCTCAACTTGTCCAAAATTTAAGAAAAAAAATTAAAAATCTAATTTTTACCTCCTTTGAAATGTAATCCTTCAGGAAGAAATATATATATTTATATGAAAATCCCTTCTCTTAATCTTTGATAAAGAATCATATATATATCCCAAAGTTTTTCGCTCTTATCTAGAAACACCTTTTATATATTTTTATTTAATATGTGAGAAATATATAATTGCATTCATCTTAAAAACAGACATAATTATTTATCTGACAGAACCCGAGAAAAAGTTTGTATATATAACAATATAAAATTATATATATATATAGAAATATATAAAATTATACATATAATCGCAAAATTATATATAAAATATGTCCATACATAATTAAATAAAAGTGCTTTTTATATATAATTATATACATTTATATATAAATAATAAATAAGTATTTCTTCATATATATATAAATATATGTTTCATATATAATTTGACATGATTATATATGAACCCTTATAATTTATATATCAATTTATATAATTATGTATAAAAATGGACATATTTCACAAATATAATTTTACGATTACATAATTATACAGTTATTTATATACAATTATATATGTATAAAAATTTTTCCCGGAAATTTTTCATTTTTTCAATTTAAATCGATTTATATGTTCGACTCTTCGCTCGCAATTCACATTTGAGGACCGACTGAAATACATAAAAAATGACGTAAGTTTATCACACTCACGGGGTGTCGGAGGCACGGCGTTTCGTCGTGTGAGCTCCTGAATAATGATGCAACGCGCCCGCGGCGTTGCTGCCCGTCGCGTGCTGAATGGCACCGACGCCGGGATTAGAACTCGAGCGCATGGCGTAATGAGCGGAGCACTGATTATTACCGCCGACGATCCCGTTCGCACCCCCGTGCTCGCCGAACACCTCGACGGACTCGCCGGACGAGACCAGCCCCACAGTCTCCAAAACAGCGGACTCGTTGGATCGGAGGAATTGCACGCAGCTCTGCGAACGTAAAAAAAAAAAAGGATCCTGTTAATCCTTTCGCTATCATCCATATCTCACAAATCTGCCGCATTTATTCTGCAATATATGCGAACGTGTAGAAACTGTTTAGAATTACTCGATTATGAACCCTCTAACAGCTTTAATCAAATTTTCGAGAAAGATGAATAATGACAAATTGTTACAGTTGATGACAGATCGGTGTATTTGATTGTAATAGCTGATATATGCATGTATAAAATTTTCCATTTTAATTAATATAGTTAAATCAAATATTGCTGAAACAATGACTGCAACAAATATTTCGTATAAAAAGTTTCAAGTGAGAAAAAGATGATAATCTTAAGTTTTAATTAAGGTTATTTTTTTAAGATCATTTGAAGATCAACTTAATTGTTTTTTTTAATAAAATCACATTCTAATTTTTTTATATAAATTAATTCTTCGCAATATTTTGGCACAGTTTCATTTTAAAAAATTGATTGACTTTTAAATAATCTTGAAAAACGACTAATTTAGTTAAAATTCTTAGTAAAGATTATCAATTTTTCGTTCTTTTCAAAATCTTTTAACTCTGTATAAAATATTATCTATTATTTATATATTTTATATATAATCTATATATTATATATATTTTAAAGCCACAGTTTAAATAATATTCGACGATATTACTTAAAATCAGATAGCATAAAGATTTTATTTAAAAAGATAATACAATTTTTATAAAATTATAAAATTTTTATTAAAAATGCCATTATTAATTTTTCCATCAAAAAAATATATCCTGCACAAATTACTACAATATCACAAAATTATATTATACATTATATACAGTGTTTGCTGTTATCTAAATGAAATTATATAGATAATCATGTAGATAGAATTTTGACGTTATTTTATCTTTATAAAGATAATAAAAATATGTATTATCTATATCTACATCTTAGATAAAAAAAAGTGTTATCTTTACTAAAATTAATAATTATCTAGAATAATGTTCAGATTTTATTTAGAGTCGTAGCACAAAAATACTTAAGTAGTAGAACTTACGTATTAAGCGATAAAAACTTATGACTTAATAAAATATGAATATATTTTTATATCCCTTTTATAATTAACATTTTTATAGTTGTGTTTACATATATAAGTAATCTTAAAAAGAATGTTATTTAAAAATTATCTGGATGAATCGCCATATAATTTTATCTTTTATCTAGATATTTAAAAGAAAATCATCTTCATCTTATCTAAAATGAATTTACAAATATTTTCATCTTATCTTTATCTAGCTAATTTAAAAATCATCTAAGCACAACACTATGATTATATATAATAATTTTATATATCAGTTTCTAAAACCGTGATTTATGAGACTATCGGAAAGTTGTAACACATTATAGAGGATGCTTAGGTCTCTTCAATTATGAAGCTGATTGGCTCTGCTGCTCGCATCGGTTTCGACTTTTAATATTCGTTTCACTGCTTTCTTTATTGCCGTTCCCGCCCATCTAGTCGAAGTTCTCGTCGCCAGCGAGCCCCTTATTCCGTCGTGCCCTCTTTTACCCCCAATACTCAGAAGTCGGCATGGCAGGGTGGGATTTATCGCTTCTAATTCAATATCGGTACCTTCCGTACAGCTTCTGCGCCCCTCGTGCTTCATTCCCTTCGTCATCTCTCATTCCCTTCTTTTCGAGCTCTTTCGTTTTCACGACTCGCAATTAACGATCATCGATCCGGGGCCCAGGTATACACGTGATGATCACTTGCGCGCAGCAGGTACATGTGTGAAAATATTCGCGAACAGCACTTGGCCGATCCTAAATGTTTCCGAAAATCGATGATAGCAAGAGCCTTGAGAGAGAAAACACTCTTGCGCGGATAGAATAAGTTAAATCTTTTTAAATACATTAACTGTATTTAATGTACATTAATGTATTTAAAAATGTATTTAAAATGTATTCAATGTATTTAAATACATTTTTAAATACATTAATGTATTTGAATACTTTCTAAATACATTAATTGTATTTAATGTACATTTGTATTTAAAAATGTATTTAAAATGTATTCAATGTATTTAAATACATTTTTAAATACATTAATGTATTTGAATACTTTCTAAATACATTAATGTATTTAAATACATTTTTAAATACATTAATGTATTTAAATAATTTTTAAATACATTAATATGTATTTAAATACTTTTTAAATACATTCATGTATTTAAATACTTTTAAATACATTAATGTATTTAAATACATTTTTAAGATACCTTTACATGTATTTAAATACTTTTTAAATACTTAATATGTAATTTAAATACTTTTTTTAAAATACATTATGTATTTAAAATACTCTTTTAAATACATTAATGTATTTAAATACATTTTTTAAATACTCTTTTAAATACATTTCTAAATCATTAATGTATTTTATATACATTTTTAATACATTAAACAGTACAATAAACTGTCAGCATATCAATATTAGTATAGACTCGCTACATTGATCTATTTTTTAATTCTGATATTTTATATTACTTACTGACATTTTAATAACAAAATTAGATTAAAAATTTATTTCCTGATAATATGAAAATCTTGATAGTATATAGGATATCTCATTTTAATTAATATAGTCGAATATTGATAAAATTATGATTGCAACAAGAAATATATTTTATTGAGAAATCGATGTAAATAAAAAGAAATTAAGATAATATTCTGAAAATTTTCAAATAATCTTGAAAAATACCTTGAATAAGTAAATTAAAATTATCAACTCTTTTTTCTTTCGAAATTTTTTAATTTTTATACAAAATATTTTCTTATTTACAGTTATTTCTGTAATATTCGATTATATTTATTAAATAGGATACTCCATATAATTTATCACGTAACATGGATCTAAACTCCTAATTGTCTCTTATCACATTTTTAAGAAGTAAAAATGTTGCACAAAATTTTCTAGACCTTATTATCACGAAAAAGAAATTAGCTACCATAGTTAAATTTTAGCTGTCCCATATTACACATGAAAAATTATATCTAAATTTTAGCTATAGAATTCTTCGTTAGACTCAAAATTTATTTCCTGATAATATAAAAATCTTGATAATATACAAGGTATCTCATTTTAATTAATATAGTCGAATATTGCTAAAACTATGACTGCAACAAGGAAATATTAAATTTACGAGGAATTGATATAAATAACAAAAAATTATAGAGTCTGATTCTAAAACTATAGCAAAAAAATATTAATTATTATAAATTATAACTAAAATTCAGACGAGATAACTAAATTTCAAGTTGTAATATAGTGAAGCTAAAACTCAGCTGTGGTGGTTAATTTTTTGTCCGCGTGATGACGCCGAGAATTTCGCGATTGGGGGATGAAGATACTCGAGTCTCTCGGGAAACCATCGCACTCCGGCTTGCGACTTTCGATTCTCACGAGCGCCTTCATCGCGCCGGTGGCTCTCGGTAGAATGTAAATGCTCGCTATTAATTTGCAATTCGTTATATCTCACCGGGAGCTCTCTCTGTCGCAGCTTCACTCTTTCCGTTTTCCGCTCGCCTTCGAGACGGGCACAGCTGCGGACGTTGTAGCGCGAGAGCGGAAGGATCCTATTAATCCCTCGAGCCTCTGAATTTCGTGGTGTCGCAGAAATTAAAGTCACAGCGCGGTGCGTATCGATTGATACCGAAAAGAACGAGCTCGCTTCTTCGTCGTCAGAGCCCGCGTTGCACCGCCGAAATCGTTCGGTTTCAACAATTCCGATGCTCTATCGAACGATCTTCGAAATTGTATATAGGGTGTCCCAAAATTAGACACCCTGTTAATATAGGAAATTTCTCAGGTTATTTGGAGACGATTTTTCCTCGGCAAAAATGTCGAGGCACCAATCATTTTTGAGTTATAAGCGGGTAAAAATAGAATAGAATTTTTTAGAGCAAACTAAGCCTTGTAAAAATAAAATATTAACAAAATCACATTTTTGAATTAATTTCAGGTAGAGGTTACTTTAGTAGAATTTTAATTTAAGGCTTATTGTTAATTACAAAGATACATGATGGCAAAAATTGAGAACATACAAAAAATGACCTCTCTCGACATTTTTGCTGAGCAAAAATCGTCTCCAAATCGTCTTGGGAATCTTTCTATTAACAGAGTGTATATTTTTGGGACACCCTGTATAAGCTTTTTAAAAAGTAATCAGAACTTTTGCAAAAAAATTAATTTCTGTTTACTTTTATTACAGTTCAACAAAAAAAACAAAAAAATTTATAATTTCCTTTTTTTTGTTCAATCACGTCACACACATCATTTTAAGGAATTTGCAGTTAAAAATTCAAGAAATAATTATTTTAATGTATTGTTCTTATTAAATAGTTATGGTATATGTGATACGTTGAAAATGTTTTGTTGCAATCACAAAATGAAGTGTTATTAAAATTTTGAGCTTTCCTAAATTTATCCATGCCACTTAATTAAATAAGTAATTAAATATTTATGATTAAATGTAGGATCTATTGTTAACAAGTTGCGAATTAAATCTCTATAAAAGTTTACAAAAAATTATTTTTAGTTATATTTATGCAAACTTAAGAATTTCTTAGATTAGGTTGTGTTGAATATAAGTTAGATATAAAAATTAACAAATTTTAGCGGTGGATATTAAACTCTAAGAATGTTCGGATTTTAGCAAAAAATTACATATGTATAAATTGCAAAAATTTGTATATGCCTATTTTGAATTTGTTAATTTTAACATTAGATTAATACTTAACAATCTAAAAAGCTCTTATATTTATTATATTTATATTTAAATACATTGAAAACTATTTAATAGATCCTTAATGATCCAACTTTTCAACAATAAATCATATATATTTAATCATAAATATCTTATTAATTACAATCGACACAATAAATCTTTTTTAAAAATTAAAAATTCTAAAAATACTTCTAAATATATTTAATTTCAATTGCAA